TAGTAGTAGTAGTAGCAGCAGCAGCAGTAGCAGTAGCAGTAGCAGTAGGAGTAGGAGTAGGAGTGGTAGTAGTAGTAGTAGCAGCAGCAGCAGCAGCAGTAGTAGTAGTAGTAGTGGTGGTAGTGGTAGTAGCAGTAGCAGTAGCAGTAGCAGTAGCAGTAGCAGTAGCAGTGGCAGTGGCAGTAGCAGCAGCAGCAGCAGCAGCAGCAGCAGCAGTAGTAGTAGTAGTGGTATTAGTAGGAGTAGGAGTAGGAGTAGGAGTAGGAGTAGGAGTAGGAGTAGTACTAGTTGTTGTTGTAGTGGTAGTAGTAGCAGTAGCAGTAGCAGTAGCGGCAGCGATAGCGGTAGCAGTCGCAGTAGCAGTAGCAATTGCAGTACTAACAGTAGAACTGTCAGCGAAATGCTTTTGTTTTTAGTAGTGGCAGCATCTAGCAGTAGTAGTAGTCGTCGTCGTCGTCGCCGTGTTGGTCGTTGTTGTCGTCGTCGGGGTCTTGGTAGTGGTGGTGGTGGTGGTGGTGGTAGTAGTAGTAGCAGCAGCAGCAGCAGCAGCCGCAGCAGCACCCAGTGGCAGTGGCAGTGGCAGTGGCAGTGGCAGTGGTAGTGGTAGTGGCAGTGGTAGTGGTAGTGGTATTGGTAGTAGTAGCAGTAGCAGCAGCAGTAGCAGTAGCAGTAGTAGTGGTAGCAGTACTCGTAGTAGTAGTAGAAGTCGTCGTCGTCGTCGTCGTAGCAGCAGCAGCAGCAGCAGGAGGAGGAGGAGGAGGAGGAGGAGGAGTAGTAGTAGTAGTCATAGTAGTCGTAGTAGGAGGAGCAGCAGCAGCAGTAGCAGCAGTAGCAACGAGCAGGAGCAGGAGGCAGAGGAGTTGTAGTTCGCAGTCACAGCAGCCGCAGGCCGCAGCAGGAGTAGCACAGTAGCACCAGAAACATGTCGATGGCCAAAGAGGGTAGATGAAGCTTTCAGTATCATACTACTCTACGCGAGGCTTTGCGTAGAAGCTCCATGCCCATAGCTTGAAAGCTTTGCTGTTCGAGTGTTATCCACCCATCCCTCCAATAGTGCCGTTTTCGGCATTAGTGCCTTAACAAATCATCTGGTTGTTTTGTTTGCGGTTTTGCTCCTCCTGGCCTTTCGAATCTGTCCTCTTCTGGCAAGGTGACGATTGATGGCAAGAAAATCCGGACCCAAGGCAAAAATGCCTCCTTCGGCGAAGCCTAGCTTATTCCTGTGTCAGGGGGGGTTGAGGGTTGAACTTAGGAGCCTCAGTAAGCATCCGTTTACACGCTGGATCCCATGTAACGAATGTGCAAGTTGCCAGGAGCCTAGGTCTTCGGGAGAGGAGAGCATCTGAAGGCCAACTTCCAAGCCCTACAACTCTGCAACCCTGAGCCCTAACCCTCGTCTGCCTCAAAGACAGTAAGCTCTGAAACTGTAAACCATCTCAACCCTGGACGCCTAAACTCTGAGACACATCCTGACACTGAAGCGCCAGAGCCAAAACACCCTCGCTCCCTCAAAACCCGATAACCTGAAAATCCTAGATTCCGCAAACCCTTAATCCGACTATGCCAGCATAGACCTCAAACAGTGCAAGAGCGCCTAGACAAACGGAAGAACCATTCCTGGAGCGACCCTGAGGCTCCCAGACCATGATATCCAATGAGTCCAACATGCACACCTGTGGCGGGGGCACCAGTGGCACGCGGAACTGGCGCGAGGGCACTGCGCAACATGTGTTACTCTTGTCGGAGCACCATAGCGAATGGGGAAGTTCAATGACCTTTTGGAACGTTAGGATTTCGCCCAGACTGCTCCTATAAGCCCCCGCCAAAAGTTCTTGATTCTTAGTCTTCGAGTCACCGAAAATTTGCACGGGACTGCATCGCGAGTGCGACTACGATTGTGGTAGAAGCTAGAGCGCCTAAAGATGGGATCTTCTATTGACTCCGTCTGATGCGGCCAGCACGGGACTGTGGCGAGGATTCGATTCATTCAATCGAAAAGGTGCACCACACCACAGCTGGAGCCACAGAAGGGCTCCGTGTGCCTCGCGTGGGACCAGAAATACCTTAACCTCCGACATGCTGAAACCCCATTGACCCGAAACCCTAAAAAGCCCAAGGCCCCTGCACGAAGTCTAGATGAACCCTAGAAGGACCCTCTAAGAAGCCCACAAGAACCCTAGAAGAGCCTGCATATGGAGAGCCCTTGAAGAACCCTACGAAAACTCACAAGAACACCACAACAACCCTATAAGAATCCTTTGAGAGGCCTATAAGAACCCTTCCAGAACCCAAAAAGAAGCCCAGCAGAGCCTTACAAGAGCCTTAGATGACTCACAAAGCCTAAAACCCGAGACTCTAAATCCTAAACAAACCTACGGCCTCTCCCTCTCCCTCTCTCTCGCTCTCTCTCTCTCTCTCTCTCTCTCTCTCTCTCTCTCTCCCCATCTCTGTTTATACACACCAACCGACCATCTCAGGAGCGGGCCCTTCTCTTTGATGAGCCCCGGAGTGCCACGGTGCAGGTCCGGGACCGGGATAGCAAAGGAGAGTCGTTTCTTGTTTGTGGGCAGGTTCAGAGTCCAGGAGTTTGATGTGTTCAGGCTTTGGAGGGCTTTCTGCTTTGAATCAGGGCTTAATGCGTCAGCATCATCTCCGCATCGCCATCGATGCCTTTGACCGTTGCTATTGTTGGCTTTCGGACAAGGTCTCGAGCGACCGAGTGGAGCTCTGGACCTTGGGGAAGTCTGTTTTCAAGTGCCTCGGCAGAAGCAAAAGCGGGAATGAGCTGTTGTCGATTTTCGTGCTTGGTGTGACGTCACCCCGTGTGCCTGTACGAAGGCAGGACGGTTTACCTGAGAAATTAGGCCTCGGCAGCTGGGTTTCCATCCCAACAGCATCGTCGCAGTAACCTTGATCTGGTGGTTGCTTGTATTCTGAGTTTGTCAGGCAGACTTATGCTTCGGCCAACGTGCATAACATAGGGGGGCCTCAGGCATTATCAGTACTGTTTTGGGGGTTCCTTATTATAATTGTAGTATAATGGGCCGCAACAGCCTATTCTAATTATTAACGCCCCTATAGTATCCTCACATTCCCAGCGTGCAAATCTTGTTGCATGCGCTGAAGGCAGATCATCACTGCCAAGATGCGAAAGGATCTGGAGTACCGAATCAGCATCCAGGATGCTGGGGTGTCTCGGCATTCTGGCGCTCGCAGGCTTCAGGATCGAGGCTGGCTGCAAGGGTTTGGCTCCTTGGCGTAGCCCTTTTTCACATCCAATGCAGCCTGGCAACTCTCTCGACATCAAAAGCATCAAGTTCGATGCATCAGGCCCTAGATTGCAATGCCTGCGAAGCATCTTGGACCAGTATTTCTGGAACCCATGCTCCTCTCAGCTGGCTATTGTTGTTTCTTTGACCGTAGTACCAGTTAAAGCCTCTATTACCTGTATGATCATTGTCTTTAACGTGTTGTTTTTGCTCTTGTTCGAGCTGTTTCATGTTTGTGTAGTTTCGTCGTCGTTGTCGTCGTCGTCGTCGTCGTCGTCGGAGTACGGCATTCTTGCCGCGACTGTTGCCGCTGTCGCTGTTGCCGCTGCTGCCTCGGCGACTGACACTTTCTACTATCAGTATCACTGTAGTATGAATGCGAGGACTCATGTTCGTGCTAGGTCAAAGTGGAGATTTAGTTCGATAGTACAACAGTGTGTGAGTAGTCTCTGCTAAATTATGCTACAAGATAATCCACTTATCAAGGCCCCCATGTTAGACCACTAGCTTCCGACTACGCTATTGAATCCGCTATTGGATGTGGGTTGTAGTTGTCTTGGAAATACGTTTTTATTTTGACCAAGGTGGCACTTCGGCCATCGTCACCATGTCGCGCTAGAGTTTCATCAGTTATGAAATCGTTTCAGCAGATGCACTACCCTTTAAGATACCTGAATAAGTGGATCCTTCAAGCATGCACCCGACAACGACCCCCTTTCGTAAAGAAACAAGCAGCCTTCTATGAGGTAACGTTGAACGATCTTAAGCCCATGAACTTCCTGGGCGCCGGCGCCTTCAGCACAGTGCGTTTGGTGGAGCACCGGACACTCAGATGAATTTAGGGCTTTGAATACCGGAGTCGGAATAGTTAGCAGCAGTTGTTTGTGGTTAGGTAGTTTTATAGTATACTGTATCCCGATACCCTAGTATACCCTAGTCTACTTACCTTTGGCTTCAGGGCAGAGCCTGAAGGCACCGAAGTTTTCCTTTGCAGACGCAGAGAGTTTGATTTCTTCGTGTTTCCCTGTGCCGGCACAGATCACCTTCCTTGGGCTCGGAACAGGGGCAAACGTCAGTGCGGCAAGAGCATCTTTAAGCAGCAGTGAAGCCTCCGAACCCCTGCGTTTTGGCAAAACTGCGTGTCGAATCGCGAGAGCGAGACAGGGTCCTCAGGAAACTGTAATTGGCAATGCTGCGATTCAGAACTCCACCCCTTCGTGCCAGCAGTTCCTCGGGTTTTGCAGGTTTGAGGTCCATGCTGTGAAGGGTTTTTCCGACAAACCTGGCGTCCCACAGAATGCCGAAGACATCTCTGCGAAAGCTCTGCCAGCCACTCGTAGTTCTTTGTGCTTTAAAAGCCGACGGCTGAGTTACGAAAAAACATCAAGAAATCCAAGCCCTGACACCCTAGAAGCGAAGGCTTATCTACCCCTACGCCGCTCCTCGAAGTTTCAAGGCCTTAAGACCGAAGCCGAACAGCTGTAATCCTGCGCAGAAAGCTACCAGGAAAACTGGTGCCAAATACGCGCTGAAAACCTGCAAGCGGACGCTGAGTGGAAAGATGCCCGCGGCCCTTCGACAGCACAGTACTCCCTCTACTAAGAAGAATAAAGGTTCACCGAGTTGAATGGTTGCCATTAAAACTACTAGGTATGTCAGTAAGATTTCAAAGGCAGTGTGGCAACACTACTAGTAACCACAAACACAGAATAATTCTAACGATGATGAGAATATGGCGTATGAATCAGTCATAGTTAGCCATAGTAACAACATTTGCACTTAGCGACACCTAAACCGTTAGTCCGGGCTCCCACAAACATAGTCTGTGCTGTCTCTTTTTGGTGCTTAGACTCTTCGTTTCTTTTCGATACTGGTCACGCGATATCAGTGACAGGCAAATGGAGTGTCGTGGTCGTTGCCTTGTCGATGTCGTTGTGTCATGAGGAGGCTTAGCAGCACCAGCAGCACAACCACCCCCTGTGTTAGTGCCGAGGTACTAGCACGAGTAGGAGTTGCAGCAGCAGCAGCAGCAGCAGCAGCAGCACAGAACGAGGCGAATTCAAACTGACACAGTAGTGCAGTCACTACCATCTTTATTTTTCAGCGTGTTCATTCTCACCCTCATCATCGTCATCACTGTCCTCATGATCAGGGCTCTGACAAGCTCCATGATCGCCGTGGTCATGGCCCATGTCATCCTGATCACTTCCTTGCTGTAGTCATGATCATCCTCTTTCTTGCCATAATCGTCATCGTTGTCTTCATTATCATGCTTTTGCTGGCTCACAAGGACATCATCATCACCAGCATCATCCTGTCGACGTCACTATGTTCTTTGTCAGCAGATCGCCTGCCTCAGGCATGAGCATCAGTCTCGCAGGCTCAGGATCTGTAGTTCAAAAGCAGCTAAAATTCGTCAGCTACGAGGGTTCTTGGCTCTGTCTCCAATCCATGTTTCCGGCTGAGGCTCATAAGACAGTGACAACGCCCGTTGCTGGCCACAGGAGATGCAGACAGAGTGCGACATCTTGGCGGAGAACGACCATCCGTTTATTCTGCCCCTCCCTTTCGGGGCACGGTTTGGATCGTCCAAGGGTTTCGGAGGGTTGCACAGTTTCGCTGGGTTGCAAACAAGTTCGAGCGGGTTTTCACATGTCTTTGAACCCTTTGTGCCTAGGACGTTGCGGCTTTTCAGGTACATGGTGGCCGTCTTTGAGACGAAGACCTGTGTTAGCATGCTCACGGAGATTCTAGCCGGAGGCACGCAGCGTTGAAACGTTCAGGCCGCAGAAGTTTTTCATCCTTTGCGAGCATTGACAAGCCGATTTTTTCTGGACATACCTACAACTTGAAATTTCAACACTCCAAAGGGGCCAACCCAGAACCCCAAATATAAGGTACAAGAAGTGCCACTCTGCAGAAGCCACAAAACGAGGAGACTCCTGCCTTGTTTAGCCGAGGCCCTGAAAGCCAAGACCCCAAATTCTCGGACTTATGCCCTACACCCACGATCCCCGAACTCCTACGCAGTGCTTGCAGGCGTAATGGTCTCAGTAGAATATTCAGTGTCATCGTCATCCTCATTGCTACCAGTCCTGACAGCAGCAACAGTCCAAATTTCGCGAGATGGCCATAGCATTAGCGACAAACAACTCACACGCAGTGGTTGTGGTTGTGGTGTTTGTGGTGGTGGTAGTGGTAGGCAGTGGCAGTGGCAGTGGCAGTAGGCATAGGAGTGCGAGTAAGAAGAGTAGGAGTAGGAGTAGAAGTAGTAGAAGAAGAGGTGGTGATTGTAGCCGTCGTCGCACTACTAGTCATAGTCGTCGCAGTCGTAGCCGTAGTTGTGGCAGTCGCAGTAGGCGTCGTCGTAGTAGTAGTCGTAGTCGTCGTCGTCGTAGTAGTAGTCGTCGTCGTAGTAGTAGTAGTCGTGGTGGTGGTGGTGGTGGTTTTAGTAGTGGTAGTGGTAGTGGTAGTGGGAAGTAATACACAATAAACATAACAAAAGTACGAATGTTAGCAACAAGACTGGGAAAACAGTAGTCGCCCCCAGGCGAGCTTTGGTCTGCGCTGCGGAAGCTGCCAGTGATGCTGCCCAGGGAAGCCGCTCTCTAAGTGTCAGGGGTGTAGGATTTTAGGGTAGGGTGTAGAGTTACCGTAAACCCTAAACCCTAAACCCTTTGAGGGTTTGAGGGTTTTTAGGTCGCGGGCTGGGTTTGGGGCTTTTGGGCCGAGAGCATCAGCAGATGTAGGCTTTTCATCTAGGAGACGCGTTTGAGGAGGATCTTGGGAGTTCCTAGGCTAGAGACTAGAAGTGAACCCTAAACCCTATGAGCCCTAAACCCTAAACCCAATCTCTCTGCAGTGCTGGAGGCTTCGGGTTGCCTAGCCTGCGTCTCGAGCTTTTGAAATTTTGGGTCTCGGGTATACGGTTTGCGGTTGGAGGCCACAACCCAAAAAAGTAGGCAGCCGTGCTGCAGCTTTCAGCCTCTCAGCTCCAGGCAAGTCCTTTCGGGGGGTCGAAATCCTGGCAGTGTTTAGCTTAAATTTCGCACGACTCGAAACTGGAAAGCCAACACGCTTCCCCCTAAACCCACATTTCATTCAAACCTGCAAAACCCATCACCGGCGTCCGCAGCCTGCTTCCGTCTGGCTCAGCTTTGCCATTTTCCGGCACACGTAGAGCTCTGATACTACCCAGCTTCCGTCGCCATGTCGGACAAAGTCCTGAGTCGCATGGCCGCACGAAGCCTCGACTTTCATGCAGAGGCTTCAGGGGTTTTGTCTTTTGTCTGGTCTTCTGCTGAGGGTTTACATTCCGGGGTTCAGGAAATCTTCATGAGGATCCCCAGAGGTTGAACACTTCCGGGTTGTCCGAAACCGGCCTTAGCTTGGAACCTAAACCTGAAACGTAAAGCCCCAAAACTTGAACCCTCAACCCTACAACGACACTGCGACAGCAGCGGGCAAACCAGCGGGTGTAGGACCTTGACTGAAGGATTTTCAGGTTTTGTATCTTTATGGTTGTGTTCTTCACCTCCGAAACATCCCTGCCAATAGGCATGGTGCTCGCGACCCTAAGCCCTGACCTCTGCTTCCTCAGTCTTCAAAACGGAAGCAGACAGAAAAGGACCCTGTTGCAGACTCATATAAAACTTCGTGCACCTTTGATCCTGAATCCTGAACCCCTAACATCAAGCCCTTGAATTCTAAATCCCAAGCCCGCGCAACAATTGATCCCAAGCCCCATGCCCTTCCTCTTTGCTGGTTTTGGACGGTAGTGCTTGCAGAAGGCAACCGACGGTGGCTCCATCAGCGGGAAAGCGGGGACACCTTAAATCACCATGTGTTAATTAGATCGTTCTCGTTACTCCGTTTCTTCTCAACGTAACGTCATCTTGTTGCTGATGCCACTATTCTTGCAATTATCATAACTCTTGCTGTAATTTGTATGAATCTATGCCTGTTGTAGATCCAAACCGCAAAACCCGAGCCCAAACCCTGAAAGTAAATCCTCCGGCGCAAGTCCCGGGCCCCGGACCCTGAATGCTCTTTCAGTTCAGCATTTACGAAACTTCCGGGCCATGCTAGACCTGAGCAGAGTGCGGAGCTTTCCGAAGAAAGCAGGAATTGGTTTAGGAAGTTTAGGCCAGTTTAGGCTTTAGGATCGTCGTCCTTGAAGGGTTCCTGCGCATCTTCTGCCCCCGAAGGCACCTTTTAATTGTCTCCTACCTTGTTGCAACTGGTCTCACGTAGCCTTGGGGCTACCGTCAGCCTCGTTCTCCTCAACCCTCAAGCGTAAACTCTCAACCCTTGACCCTAAACCCGCGCGCCCCATAACCCCAAAGACCAGGCATGGAGGAGGTTGCCAAGCACAACACCAAGGAAGACTGCTGGGTGGTCCTCTACGGCAAGGTGGGGGCAAGGGCTGAGGTTTGCAAGGTTTCGTAAAACTTTGCATACATCTTCTTCGGCATGCTGGGGCTTCGTAAGGAGAAGAAGTTCAAAGGGCTGCCCATCAGGGGCTTTCAGGATGCTCATCAGCTTATCCGAGTTCAGCCAGGGTGTCGGGATCCAGCGTACGTGTTTACACCCCGGACTCCTGAAGCCCTGCGGCCTAAGCTCTAAAGCGAAGTATACTCTGAACCTGAGGCCGCAAACCCAGCCCTCCTCCCACGCTAGCATTGGTTGTCCCTGGAGCATGTTGTCCCTGGGATCAACGTACTGGTCCCTTTCAAAAGGCGTTTGAAGTTATTGCTCTTTGCCGCCTTGGCAGAATGACCATGCGAGGAGATCCAGGCGCCGGGGCATTCCAGACGGGTCCCTGCATGTTTTGCACTGCTTCACAAACAGAACCCCTGGGAGTTGACCCTAAACCCAAGTGGACTAGACCCTAAACCCTCAACGAAACCCCGAGAACTAGAGCCTAGATCCTAAACCTTGAACCCAAGAGCTTGACCCCAAGGCCTACGACTTGACGAAGTTCGCAAAGGTCCACCCCGGGGGTGCAAAGCTCATCACAGATGCTCTCCTGCATTTTTGGAGCTTCGAAGGGCTCAGGGGACCCAGAGAAAGTTCACTTTTTTTGCTGAAGCCTTGGAGACATCACAAGACGTTTGCTGTAAAGAGCAGATCCCTTGTTAACAGCTGCCTGACGTTGATGAACCCTAAACCCTAAACCC